CGATCTCCTGGCCTCGTGATCCGCCTGCTTCAGCTTCCCAAAGTGCTGGGATTATAGGCGTGAGCCACCACACCCAGCCTAGATATTGTCTATTCAGATTGAAAGCCCACGTCAGTGAGAGATGTGTAAGCGGGGTGTGATGGCGGGAGACTCCCCACCCCCTTGTCATCTTCCTTACACCCCCTTGCTCTCTCGGTCCTGTGGGCACCTGACCAGCGGCCGGGGAGAAGCCTGCAACAGGGGGAACAACCTTCTCTTCCTTGACTCTTGCAAGGTAGGAAAGAAATTGCTCACATTGGTGGCGTCATCCCAAGAGACTGAGCTGAATCTCATAGCTTAGGCATAGCTGACATTAATCCGATCAGGCAGGTCTTAATGATTTTTCCAGCAAGAGTGGACAAGCACCCGGAGCCCGCCTCCAGACAGGGACATGTCCAGCACATACCCAGGCAGAGGGGACTTCCATTTATGTTGGTATTGTGGCCAGCGTCTAATCAGCAGTTAATGTCAGCTCAAAATGAATGAAAGCGAGACAGGCAGGCGCTCATTGTTAACAATGTGCTGCCCATTTAAACTACCTTTAAGGAACCCGTAACCCAAGGAAGCAATGGCTGGTGAGCTGGAGTTAACACCAAAATCTCCTTCTTTGAATTATTATTATTATTTTGAGACAGAGTCTCACTCTGTCACCTAGGCTGGACTACAGTGGTGCGATCTTGGCTCACTGCAAGCTCTGCCTGCCGGGTTCACGCTATTATCCTGCCTCAGCCTCCCAAGTGGCTGGGACTACAGGCACCCACCACCATGCCTGGCTAATTTTTTGTATTTTTAGTAGAGATGGGGTTTCACCGTGTTAGCTAGGATGGTCTTGATCTCCTGACCTCGTGATCCACACGCCTCGGCCTCCCAAAGTGCTGGGATTACAGGTGTGAGCCACTGCGTCCAGCCCCTTCTTTGATTTATTTATGGCTCCAGGTTCTGTTCTTTGAGAAAAGGGTTTTCTGCAGAAGCTTGAGAAGGTCTCTGCTATTGCAGGTGTTCAGCCTCTGCCTTAGCAAGAGAGTTCAGATAGGAATTTTAAGTCCATTTGGTTAAATTGAACACAGTCTTTTTTTTTTTTTCTTTTTTCTTTTTTTAAGTTTAAAGACAGGGTCTTGCTCTGTCACCCAGGCTGGAGTCCAGTAGTTCGATCTCAGCTCACTGCTGCCTCTGTCTCCCAACTCAAGTGATCCTCCCACTTCAGCCTCCTGAGTAGCTGAGACTATAGGCACGTGCCACCCTGCCCAGCTAATTTTGGTATATTTTGTAGAAACGGGGTTTCACCATGTTGCCCAGGCTGGTCTCGATCTCCTGGGCTCAAGTGATTCACCAGCCTTGGCCTCCAAAATTGCTGGGATTACAGACATGAACCACTGTGCCTGGCCTTAAATGGAACAGAATTCAGATTTCATTTGGGGATGGTCTACTGTAAATGGATGTGGGGTGGGAAGCCTAGTGCTCTCAGGCTTGTGGGGTAGGCTCCAGATTTGCTGGAAAAGAAGCTACTGAACTACAGGCCTGACATGCTCATGCAAGGCTTGTCCTAGCATCTTCAGTCCCCTCTTCCGCCAGCAGTCGCAGCCCCCTGATGTGTCTGCTGTGGCTCACTGGCGTCACTGGACCTCTGGAGGGTCCTGAGCACCACTTTAAAATCCTCCAGGATACTTATCATGATGGCTTTCATTGGCTGAAGCCAGACCAACAGTTTCTGCAGAAAATAATTTACCACAAACTCCAACCTGGGGACCTGGAAAAGGATTACGCCCTCTTCCCATCCATGCAGGCTGTCCCCGTGGGGACCGGGAGGAGCAGGAGGGAGAACAGCCTGCCCGTGCCTTTCCCTCTTCTGACCTCCTGTGCCTGTGACACGTGGTCTGTGCTGTCCATGCAGCAGGGCCAGGTCACACTTCTGTGTATAGTGGGCATGCATGTATGTCATTCTGTGAGTTCTTTGAGGCTTGGACTTCTTGGAGTCCCTCCCATCACCTTGGAACATAGTAGAACATTTGTGTATTGCTTTTCTCCTTTTCAAATATTTCTGCTGTTCACCCTCTGGATTGTCATCGTTATCATAAAAGCCTTACTTGCAAACAAGGGAAGTTTGCAGGGGCATTGCCATAATGTCTCTGATGTATTAAGTAGTTCAAGGGTAAGGTGAAACATGTACTGATGTTCTGGGTGTGTGCACGTATACACAAACACGTACCCATCCCTGTGTACGCTTCACCTCAAGAACCATCTTCACGCTTAATCAGTCCTCCTCTTTTTGTTCCATACTCCCTTAAAGATGTGGAATTTTTTGAAATTAATAGTCATTTTTTAGAACAGTTTTAGGTTTACAGAAAAATTGAACAGAAAATCCAGTCTTCCCATCCTCCTTCTCGTAGTTTCCCTTATTTTAATGTCTTGCATTCATGTGATACGTTTATTGCCGCTGAGCCGATATTGATACATTATTATTAACTAAACTCAGTAGTTTACATTAGGGCTTGTTCTTTGTGTTTTACCTTCTATGGGTTTTGCCCAGTGTATAGTGTCGTGCGCTCACCATTACAGTATCATACAGAATAGTTTCACTGTCCTAAAACCCCAGTGTGCCTCCTGGAATCCCTCCCTCCCTCATAACCCGTGGCATCCACTGGTCTTTCTCCATAATCAGTCTCTGTAGTTTTGCTGTCCATGGTTTTGCATTTTCTAGAATGTCATATGGTTGGAATCATACAGTATGTAGCCTTCAGATTGGTTCATTTCACCCAGTAATACGCATTTAAGTTTCCTCTCTGTCTTTTTGTGGCTTGATAACTCGGTTTTTTTTTAGCACTAAATAATACTCCAATGTCTGGATGTACCACAGTTTGTTTATCCATTCACCTACGGAAGGACATCTTGTTGCTTCCAAGTTTTGACAATTATGAATAAAGCTGCCGTAAACATCTATGTACAGGTTTTTGTGTGGACTTAACGTTTTTTACTTATTTGGATAAATACCAAGTAACCAAATTGCTGGATCTTTTTACTTCTTTGGATAAATACCAATACCAAGTAACAAAATTGCTGGATTACAAGATGCTGGATCATAAAAGAAGTCATTGGCAGGAGCTGGCACCTCCCAGAGCTCTAACAGACTTTGTGTGTTTTTACTAGGGACGATTACCATGAGGATGGGTTCTGCCAGCCTTACCGGGGAATTGCCTGTGCGCGCTTCATTGGCAACCGGACCATTTATGTGGACTCGCTCCAGATGCAGGGGGAAATTGAAAACCGAATCACAGGTGGGAGCTGCAGACCTTTCTCACAGGATGATAAGCACACGCACAGCCACCTGTCGCACAGACGGTGGCCACTGTGTTTCATCAGTTAATGGCATGGACATTGGGTCCCTCTTCCATCTCATCTGTAGTAGAAAACCAGAGATCTTTTTTAGACGTAGTTGCAATTGCTAACATGATTTGCCCTAAAAATGTTCCTGGCCTGTATGTTTAAATTAGCAAGTGTGGGTTGCTTGGAATATACTTCTGCACTTTTAACTCAGCCAGACTGTGTGGGTCCAAAGCACTGTCCTTACTGCATCGCCAGGGCCTCCCGCCCCGGGCCCGCCACACTGGCGCAGGCAGCCTCAGCGCCCCCACACTAACTCTGCTTGACTTCTCATTCTGCACTTCTTGACTCTTCTATCCTCTCTGAGCCACATTTGGTCCAAAGGCACCCAGGCCTGATTGCAGTGGTCTGGGGGAAAGAGTCGCGGGTCATCAGTGGTAGGGATACTGCAGTGAACACATATTTTGTCAGTCCTGGGTTTCCAGAGAACAAAGCCAAGTCTTTGAGTACCTGGTTCAGGGTCTGAGAAAGTGGCAGGTCATTTAGGTCTCTTCCTTGGTCTCTTTAAGAGACTTTGGAAGAGCTCATCCTTGGTCTCTTTAAGACTTAACTTCTCTGATAGGCTGTCCCAGTTCGAAGCATACAACTCATTGGTGGGGTCCGGGGTCCTTCTTAGGGGAAAGGCCTTGGAAAGCAAGAAAATGAATTAGACAGAAGTCCTACAGAGCCCTCCTCCTGCTGTCCCTGCTCTCCCCACAAACACATACACGTTTTCTCTCCAGACCCCATAAGGAGCAAGAAACATCCTGTGCAGACGGCAGGTGCCCCAGCACCTCAGTTTAGTTGGATCCTCCCCATGGGAGCGGGAGGCTCTGCTGCAGGTTAGAATCAGTGGGTGATCTCTGATGCCTGTGCTCCCAGGAGAGGGGGATGGGGCAAAGGGGATACAGGGCACTGACCTGGTAAGGGGTGACAATGAGGATACAAGGCAAAAAGTCACCTCATGTCACTGACAAGCCCTTCTAAGTTCAGGTCACCCTCAGACTAGAGAGCCGAAGGTCACATTCACGGTCACAGAAGAGACTGTCTGGTCCATGCTGGTACAGAGACCTCTGAGGACAGGGCCAGGGGGTCCTGTGCAAAGTGAAAGAGCCATCATGAGACAGAGAGGAACCTGGAGGTGCCATCCTGTTCCAGCGGGAGGTGGTTTTGAAAATACAGCTACCTCTCACTGCAAAAGCTTTCTTTGCCATTAAAGTAGGACTTCTCAAAGGATTTTACCGAAATACACAGTGGGAAATAGAGAGTGTACTTTATACCATGACTTAGTATACACATACGTGTATTTCACACAACTGCCATAGGTTATAGGGAATAACTTTCACCCTTCCTAAAAGTGGTGCACTTGGATTTTTCTCTTCGATTTTATTTCATTAAAGAAAAAGGTGGCCGAGTGTGGTGGCTCATGCCTGTAATCCTAGCACTTTGGGAGGACTGAGTGCTAGGGAGGCTGAGGCGGGCAAATCACGAGGTCAAGAGTTCAAGACCAGCCTGACCAACATGGTGTAACCCCCGTCTCTACTAAAAGTACAAAAAATTAGCTCGGCATGGTGGCGGGTGCCTGTAATCCCAGCTACTCGCGAGGCTGAGGCAGAAAAATCACTTGAACCCAGGAGGTGGAAGTTGCAGTGAGCCCAGATCGCACCACTGCACTCCAGCCCCAGCAACAGAACGAGACTATCTCAAAAAAAAAAAAAGCCCTTAGTAGGAACCATGTGCACTCTGACATCCTCTAGTCCGTTCTTATCGTCTTTTAAAATGCTAGCCGCACACTCCAGAATTAATTAGACACCCCACTAATTGGCAAGCACTGATCCAGGGCACACGATTGTCCCTCAGTTGTCTCTTCAGGAGTTGTTTAAGGAACCAGCTTGCATCCAAGCAGCCTGGTTTTATAGCAGCTTTTAGAGAAGAGTGTAGAATGAGGATTTTCTAGGTCGGTGGCTTTTGGAAAACAATAAATTTGAAGTTGCCCTCAACAGACTTGTGGTTTTGAAATAAGCATAGTAATGACTGTTGTGTGCAGTGTTCTGTTGGAAAGCGTTGTGTGACATTCAGGGTGTGGACAGATAACAGGATGTGAGTTGTTGGATCTCTTTGGTGCCTGGAATTGCACTTTCAGAAAGAAGCAGTACATTCTCAGGGTGAGGAGAAGGAGAAAGGAGGAATTGCTATAAAGATGAGCGGAGACATCGCATCAGTGGATTAGCCCAAGACAAGTGACAGCTTTGGCGTTCTTAGGCAGTCTTTCCCTGTCCGGAGGTCAAGGCCTACCTGCATTTTTGACAGCCTTCCATATAATCCCAAATCCGTAATGATGGGATTGAACCAGACTGAAGCCTCAGTTCTTCCTCCAAATCCAAGACATCCTGTATTGTAACCGCTTACCCTCTCTGTTCCTCCATTTAAATATCGGCCACAGGAACCCGGAGGAGGGGAGGTGATGTGACGAGCACAGCAGTGCCCGCACACCGTCAGGACAGTGCGGCTGCTCTCGCCCACTGACACCACCTGTTACCCGACCCCTGGGCCCGTTCATGCCGAGGGCCACGTTATAGGCTCTGTGTGCACTCTCATGTCCCAGTGTGGGGTGTCAAATCACCCTTCAGGTACAGAAACAGGCCCGGAAAGGCGTGAGTGATACCACAAAGTGATCACGCACCAGGCTATTCCCACACAGCTGCCCCTCCTGTTCCTGGTTGGGTTCCCAGGGAATGACTGACAGCGGCACTGCCACCTGCTGGCCAAACCTGGCACAGCACGTACACGCTTTCCTTGCCTGGAGGTCAATTGAGGCCGGCATTCTGGACAGCCCTCTGTATAATCACCAAATAATTGCCAAATCTGTAATGATGGGATTGAACTGCATTCATGGGTGGAGCTATGGCTCCTCAGGGACTAAATGCCAGCTTCTGGGTTTTTTCCTACGCTGGAGGACACAGTCTCAGCTGGGCGTGCAGGCAAAGGGGCCTGTCTGCCTCCAGTGTCCCCAAGCTCAATTGTTGTAAACCAGCATTTCACAGGTGAAAGTGGGGTAGTGAGCCCAGGGCAGGCCGATGCAGTCCTTAGAGTCCTGCCTTGGCCAGCTTCTTCGCCCCTACCAGTGTCCGGCCATGCCCCCAGGTGCAGCAGATGTCCCCCCCAATGCCCACACTTTGTTCCCGAACTCACCCCATAGTCTCACCGCCACACTGCATCCTCTGACATCTTGCCCTTAAAAAATAAACTTCCCTACCAAAGGGGGCTCTGGATCTTGGGGTTTCTCTGCTCCCCCTTATCACAGAACCTTCCAGAATTTTAAGGCGGCCCTCCTTCCACTTTGCTGCTGTCACCCTCTTGACTTTCCACATTTTACCAGCTGCCTGCCTCCTCCAGCTGCAGTTCACAGTGCTGAGCTGACTCCCTCTTCTGGGACATTGGGAAGCCCGGGGCTGGGTACTGCACCTCTTGGCCTCTCCACACATAGCGGATCCTTAGGATCTGCTTTTGCATCTGAAGTCTGAACCCTCCTGTCCTGGAAGAAGCACCTAGTGGAGTGAGCTAGAGGGCCGAGTTTTCCTTCTTTCTCGTTCTGCTTCTGATGTTTCTAAGTGAGGCCTGGGACCAGGGGCTTTTCTGTGTCTGCTGCAAATCAGAGCAGGTGATGGGCAGGCTGGCCTGCTGGTAGGGAGCCTCTCCAGGGTGGTGTGCGGGGCTCAGGGTTGGGGAGTCTGGGGCGGGGCGGGGTATCAGGGGGCCGAGTGGGCAATCTGGGATGCGGGGCTGGGGGTGGGGACTGGATGAATGTCAGGGGCGCGAGGTGGCTCTACCGCTAACGCGAGTCTCGCGGGCTCTGCAGCGGCCTTCACCATGATCGGCACCTCTACGCACCTGTCGGACCAGTGCTCGCAGTTCGCCATCCCATCCTTCTGCCACTTCGTGTTCCCTCTGTGCGACGCGCGCTCCCGGGCACCCAAGCCGCGTGAGCTGTGCCGCGACGAGTGCGAGGTGCTGGAGAGCGAC